TGTGTGTGTACCCCCCCCCCCCCCCCGGGAGTGATGGCTTGTATTTGATCTATATACAATCTATATATATGTGCGTGTACATGAATATAAATTATACTTTTGATATACTTGTAAATATGCATCAAAGTGTCAAAGTTTATATATATATACGGTTTATTTTATAACTAAATATATTTGGTTAATATCGTACCGATCACAACTGTATGAAGTTGACGAGCCTTGCGATGATATATGTAATAATTTATACATAACATTTAAAGTATTACGTAAACATCTACAGATTTATTTCTGCAAATTAAATGTATGACTAGTAAATAAGGATAAGATCTAGATGCAAGTAAATGTAATAGTGTGGAATCACAGGTTTTAAGAAAAAGAAAAAAGAAATAGAGAAGTAGTTGGACGATCGCCTTGCCACTAGCGAGTAGGATCATTCAGATACACAACTTTGATGCCGGCCAAGGAATGAATAGCTTAGAATTGAAGTGATGACATTCACAAACTAATTTGCTGGCGGGTTGAAAAAACTTTTTTTCGGTAAATGTTACGGTTACTTCAGCTTTTCTCAGTACTACCCACACTGTAATACAAATATCTCTAATGAGATTGAAAAACGGGAAAAGTCGTAAAATAATTTGAATAATTTGACCCACTTTCAGTGACACACACTACCAATACATTCAATATTCTATGCACACAACGCTGAACTCACATGTGGATTTTTGCGGAGGGATGAAATCGGAGAACCCGGAGAAAACCCTCGCTTGAAGCATACGATAGAACAACACATCCAACAWTCTAACTCAATTCACATATGGCGTGTGCGGGACTCCGAAACAGTGACCCTTACCTTTGGAAACATGGTGGTGAAAGACGAAGAGTTAGCAGCGTACGCCACCCATGCTACCCTATGCACCCTACCCTACCCTACTTCAATGCCTTGCTTTGAAGCAAGACATGTCAAATACACAATACTCAAGGTTTTGAAGCATCGGATATTAATAAATTGGATTTATTTTTATATTTTCACTTTTTAGGRATAAGAACATTTTCTAATATATATCTAATAATATATAATGTCTTTCAAATCATATTCTTATGTTCTTTTTCTTGGAGAATATATTGTATATTATGCATCAATGTGTACAGATTTTTTTAATGTTTTTATATCTAATTTCGYATAGTGATAACAACGTGTTTGGAGATATAATAAACTCACTTTCTTCTCTCAAATCGCTTTAAATCGCCCGAAAAAATTACTACGAAATTTCGTCACATTTCCTTAAATCGCCTTTAAAACTCGTTAATAATTCATGAAGGAAACACAATAGAAATCACGACCTCAAAGGAGGTCTTATATCTGATATAGATTCGTCTTCATTTGAATAAACTTTAACTTGGATTTTCTATATCAAACTTGGTTCATTTCGTAAAGAATTCAGTACAATATGAGAACATACATCAT